TTTATGATGTACTGCTTTTTGCTGTTCTAAGTAACTTTTGATATTTTACTATAACTTAGTGATTCTTCTGCTATCAAATCATAAAAAAAAATCAACTTAAGTAGTTCACTCGCTGTTTTCCCCGCAGTCTTGTTTTTCAATATTTACAGAAAGTAGACACTTTAAGCTCACATTCACCAATAAATGTCCACTGATTTCTTTTGTCACTTTGTAATTATATATATATATATATATATATATATATATATATATATATGTGTGTGTGTGAGAGAGAGCTGATGGAACCTCATACGATGAAAGTCAAATAAGAACTCATTATATATGGGAGATATGCTAGGGAACTAACCTTTTATAATCATTATATTTCGCAGATTTTTTGTTTAATTCGGTCGAAGATGCGATCCATATTTAAATATAATATGTTTAAATTTATTTTAAGGAGTACTATGCTAAAAATTTAATTTAATTTTTTCAGGACAGTTTAAGCAGTTTCATTTTCAGTTTGTCCAATGGTAACGTATAATGTCAAATATTTGCAACCAGTTCAAGTTTACCACATTATGAACAATTAAAGTGTTTAGATTGTATTCATTAAATTTGTCCAATGGTAACGTATAATGTCAAATAAAATTGAAACCTGGAAAAACCTTATAAGATTTGCAAAACCAGGTAGAAAAAAAAGTTCACTTTCACCTATTTTATATTATGAATATAACAATAATAGTTCGAATTGAAGATGTACATTCCACAAACTGTTTAATATCCCTTGACTAAATTTGTTGTAAGAATCACTGAATCACTGAAAAAAGCTTTTGTGTTATTACAAAAAGAAGAGTTTTAAATCGTTTTATGTCAGCCACAATATGTCTTTCCAAATGAGAAATAATGAGAGGAAAATATCATTAATGCCTCCAGTAATGATAAATCATTGATATTTTGGCTTACATCTACGAAGTTCATTCAAGAATCATCAAAAGAATGGTGAATAAGTTTTAAAAAGTAGGAACAATAGAGAGGAAAACTGATCAGAAGTTCACAACAGTAAGAAGGGTCAAGGTTTCGACATAGAACTAAATATATACTTACTGTTCAAAGTAGTGCACATGAGTTTTATAAAAACGTCGGAATATTCCAGTAAGATATAATTAATCATTTCTAAGCTATAACGGTTCAAAGCTTAATCTAACAATTTTGATGTTAGATAATTTGTATATTTTTCTGTTACACCAAGAATTATACATGAGTGTAGATTGAATTCAACACACCGAGACAACATAATATTTCATATTAATCTCATTGTGAATACTCTATTGTATTATTCTAATGACTGCTTTGGTGGACGTTAACGGATATGTTTAGAATTATTCTAGGGGATATTGAGTGGGAATGTATATTAACTTTCATCATATATTTAGGTTTTATTACAATTTTGATAATAACTTAAAATAATAAACATTACCAAGGTGTGAACATATGTAAATTAATATCAGTTAATGGTTAGGGTAATTGAGTGAGAATATATATATATATATATATATATATATATATATAACAATAAATCATATATAGAAAAAGTAATTTAGTAAAGCTAATCATATAAAATGGCGAAATTAATTTTAAAAAGCAAGGATCATAATCATTCTTCGAATGATTAGTGAGTTTATGCATCTTTAAAATTTAGTGAGATTTCGCCATTTTACATCATTAACTTTACTATTTGTATGAATGACTCACTGTAAGATAAATTAAACTGTACCACATATTTGATATATATATATATATATAATTTTACCATAAGCAAAGCAATAATACCACTAAGATTTAAGGGGCTAGTGGGAGTGAAAGATAATGTAAAAGTACTTAGAAGGAACCAAGTACACAATAATTAACAAGAAACAAGGAATAAAGCTCTACTCCTGTTCAGAATATCAGGAGGAGTGTGAACCGGACGTCATGCGAATTTATCTACACCAACTGAAGTAAAAAAAATAGTAAATAAAACCCCAGAGTTTTGGTGGAGAAATTATTAGTATACAGTTGAAGTCGACTTTAGAATCAACCAGAAACTCTGTTGTAAACAGGAAACAAGGGATACACTTCTACATCTGTTCAAATGACCGGAAGGATTAATATTTATTTGGAGGCCTGTTCCAATTATGAGTTAGCAAGTACACTACTCTCTTCCATCACCTCATAAATAAAGTTCTATTCTGTTTTGATCGCAAGGAAACACAGAAAAGACATATCAGAGACGCAGTTTGGTTTCAGTTAGAGATAGAAACGAAGAGACGATAGAAGAGGTGATGTTGCTAAAATGCTTCACTAGAATTTGACATCTTCATGTGTACACGCTTACTTCTTTAAATAATGAACTGCATTGATGTTTACGATTGCTATTACAAAATTTTATTAAAGGTGTTAAGATCAATCACAGATGCAACTGGGAAATTTCCAGTTATTTTATAGACATAAAACTTGCAAGGAGATTATAGAAATTTGTAGAAAGATTATAGAAAGTTGTATTTCATCAGAAAATTAAAATAGCTTAACCCTGAAAAGTTCATTACTTCTATTAGTAAGGATAATCTGACATACAGAGTGGGATGGGGAAAATGTTGCCATTTTATATACTTTTTTTATTTATTTAGCGCATGCGCGTTGTTTTTGATTTTGCTGACTTCACAGTATAGTAGGCTCAGTTTGGGAGTGTCTGTGAGAAAAAGAGTTCCATAACGCCAGAAATTTGGAATCGACATTCTGTAATGCTTGGCATTGGCACCGGAACCTCCAAGAGATTCCTGAGTGTTGGAATATTTGTAAGTTGGATGTGCTTAATGGTGAATACGTAGGTAAGGCAGCTGAGAAAACTCGCTCTGAGTGTGTTCATAAAAAGAAAGAAGCCCCGTATTTGTTGGTGAAGTCCTCAGACTCAATACGGAGGACGAGACCAAATGAATTGAAGAGGTAGTACTGCGTTGGGTCAAGATGGTGACTGCTGGAAGATCATATATCTGGCCAAAGGATTCTACTCCATGCCACGCAAGGAGGAAAGCACAGTTATAGCTGTCAGACAGTTTTTGCGACCACATAACTTCTTACATCTGGCTACCTAACACCCCGGATTGAAACCCCATTGATTATTATCTGTGGGGTGCAGTTGAGCGAGAGGCCAACAAAATTGTCTTGTATCATTAAAGATGAACTGAAGGCGAGGATTATAGACAATCACCAACTAAAACAAGGAGGCCGTTCTAAAGTGTTGCAGGTATTTCCCAAGTCGTCTGGAGGACAGGGTTGAAATCAATGGCGATTTTATTGAATAAATCGACTTTTAGCATTTCAATCTTTTTTTGTATAATTTATATATATATATATGTTAAAATGAGATGTCCGTAATGTCATTTTTGCATAAGTTAGACAAAAATATATGCATGACAACCTGTATATAATTAAAGAAAATTATTGATATACAAAACACAAGCTAATTAATTTGATGTAAATTAAAGCAACTTGAATAAGAAAAGTCTTGTGCAAAAAAGTTCCTTTGTGATGTTTGATTCCAAATATTTTTTTCTGCGTATGTGCCTGAGAGAATGAATTTATATACCCACGGAGAGAGGAGATTTACAAAATCAGTGTGACAAAGGAATTCTTTGAAACTTCCCACTGTGTCTTTGTACGGTGGAAGTGGTTTAGGCAATTGATGGCAGTTCCTCTGAATTTGCAAAATCCTGTTGAAAGCGGGTTCTTCTCATCAATCTACCGTTGACGATTTTGTTGATATTTCTTTTAACAATCGAAAGCCTTAGTCCATTGGTTCGCTTATGTTGTAATACGCTATACTACATGCTAACAGAAAAAAGGATTAAATACATACGATTTTAAATTTTCAAAATCGAGTGTTACTTCTGTTTGGGTATATACATGTATACTTTACATCTAAAAAACACAGATTAGACTTATTTATGTAGGATTTACTATTTAATTGATTTTTTTTTCTTTTTTTCTATTTTTTTTTTCTTTCTAAATTTAGGAGTTGATTTTATTTGCTTTCAGGTACGTTAACACATATATTATCCAATTCCTGAAAAATTACAAATTACGTATATTTTTAATTGGTTACTTCTCGCTAAATATATACGCGCGCTTACGGCCATATGATCTTAAAACACAGGATCTTTCAAGATCACTAGTTAGATCGATAAACGTTTGAAAATAACAATGCTGTGTGTTTGGAGGTGTGAGTGATGTGTTGGATAACGACTTCAAAATTGAAGAGCCAAGTCTGAATTCAAATCAAGGTCATTATATTCACTTACGTAAAAAAGCCCTTGGGAAATTTATGAATCTCTTCCCCCCAACTATGGGTTAATTACTAAGACTTGTATCAGTAAATGTTTATTATAGTCAAAAAAGAAAAAAAATACAATCTATACATATTTTCTGGCTTTAAATAACATGTTGATAAGCCGTAAAAGAATGAAATAAAAATATAAGGCACCAATAAAAAGAAATAAGTCTGAAGAGGACTTTCTGATGGCTGAAAAGTTTTGTATAGGATTTTTATTTTATTTTGTCATTCTATTACCCATCATTTCTTATATATGCAGAAACGTGTGCATATTTTGAATCTAGGTTTTTTTTTCCATGTTGAATATATTTACTGTAGACGATCTCTTGAGATGTATGTATGCGTTTGTATTTGCATGTTATTCATGTATACTATTATGTTTGCCTACATAATCCATACTTGTTGGGCGCCACCTTTAACACATCTGCCTGAACCCATCATTCAGTTTTCGTCAGTCTACTTCGATCGACGGGCCAAGAGCTGTCAATGCTTTCTCGTCTCTTATTCACTAATACAGCATCAACACACACACACACACACACACACACACACACACATATATATATAATATGTGTGTGTGTGTGTGTCTCGAGTGTACTTTCTATCAAGGTTCTCCAGAACGTCTCGGGTGCAGTCGACGTTGACGTCGCTACGACGGCGGTTTTACTCCCCGCACCTCCCAGATAGAACTGCGCACACCACATGCCAGATATATAAAGTTCCTTCCGATTCGGGCAGGCTGGCAAGGGTGAACGAGACAGGATCGGTTTTCATTAGATGGTCTCCAGATCGATCGTTGCAGAGAACGTGCTAGAACGAAATGGCAAATGTGGGCTGAAAGTGGCAGAGAGATTACGAGGCACAGTAGAATTAGAGAAAGAAAGAAAGAAAGGGGAAAATGCGTAGAGGGAATAAAAGAAGAAAATAGAGAGAATGAATGAAAGGCGAAAATAGATAGAAAGAAAGGAGAAACTAGAGAGAGATAGGAAAAAGTTGAAAATAGATAGAGAGAAAGGAGAAGATAGAAAGAAAAGAGAAGATAGAAAGAAAGGAGAAGACAGAGTGAAAGAAAGAAAGGAGAAGAGAGAGGGAAAGAAAGAAAGGAGAAGATAAAGGAAAGAAAGAAAGAAAGGAGAAGAAAAGAAAAAAAAGAAAGAAAGGAGAAGAAAGAAGGAAAGAAAGAAAGAAAGAAAGAAGATAGAGGAAAGAAAGAAAGAAAGAAAAAGAGGGAAAGAAAGAAAAAAGAAGAAAGGAAAGAAAGAAAAGAAAAAGAAAGGAAAAAGAAAGAAAGAAAGGAGAAGAAAGAGGGAAAGAAAGAAAGGAAAGAAGATAAAGGAAAGAAAGAAAGGAGAAGATAGAGGGAAAGAAAGAAAGGAGAAGATAGAGGGAAGGAAAGAAAGAAAGGAGAAGATAGAGGGAAAGAAAGAAAGGAGAAGATAGAGGGAAAGAAAGAAAGAAAGGAGAAGATAGAGGGAAAGAAAGAAAGAAAGAAAGGAGAAGATAGAGGGAAAGAAAGAAAGAAAGAAAGGAGAAGATAGAGGGAAAGAAAGAAAAGAAAGAAGAAAGAAAAGAAAGAAAGGAAAGATAGAGGGAAAGAAAGAAAGGAGAAGAAAGAAAGAAAGAAAAGAAAGAGAAGAAGAAACTAAAAGAAAAAAAAGGAGAAGAAAGAGGGAAAAGAAAGAAAAAGAAGAAAGAGGGAAAGAAAAGAAGAGAAAGGGAAAGAAAGAAAGAAAAGAAAGGAAAGAAAGAAGGAAAGAAAAAGAAAGAAAGAAAGGAGGAAAAGAAAGAAAGAAGAAAGGAAAGAAAGAAAGAAAGGAGAAGAAAGAGGGAAAAAAAAAAAAGAAAAGAAGATAAAGGGAAAGAAAGAAAGAAAGGAGAAGAAGAAAGGAAAGAAAGAAAAAAAGGAAAGAAAGAGGAAAGAAAGAAAGAAAGGAGAAGAAAAAGGGAAAGAAAGAAAAAAGAAAGAAAAAAGAAAGAAAAAAGAAAGGAGAAAATAGAAGGAAAGAAAGAAAGAAAGAAAAAGAAAGAAAAAGAAAGAAAGGAGAAAGATAAGGGAAAGAAAGAAAGAAAGAAAGGAAAGAAAGGAAAGAAAGAAAGAAAGGAAAAGAAAAAAGAAAGAAAGAAAAGAAAGGAGAAAAAAAGAAAAGAAAGAAAGAAAAAGAAAGAGGGAAAGAAAAGAAAGAAAGGAAGGAAGAAAGGAAAGAAAGAAAGAAAAGGAGAAGAAGAGGGAAAGAAAAAAAAAGAAAGAAAAAAGAAAGGGAAAAAAGAAGAAAAAAAAGAAAAGAAAGAAAGAAGGGAGAAAAGAAAGAAAGAAAGAAAGAAAGAAAAAGGAGAAAAGAGAAAAGAAAGAAAGAAGGGAGAAAATAGTGAAAGAAAGAAGGGAGAAAATAGTGAAAGAAAGAAGGGAGAAAATAGTGAAAGAAAGAAAGGAGAAAATAGTGAAAGAAAGAAGGGAGAAAATAGTGAAAGAAAGAAAGGAGAAAATAGTGAAAGAAAGAAAGGAGAAAATAGATAGAGTGAAAGAAAGAAAGGAGAAAATAGATAGAGGGAAAGAAAGGAGAAAATAGGGGGAAAGAAAGAAATGAGAAAATAGATAGAGGGAAAGAAAGAAAGGAGAAAATAGATAGAGGGAAAGAAAGAAAGAAGAAAATAGAAAGAAAGACGAATATAGATAGAAAGGAGAAAACAGAATGGAAAAAGGTGAAAATAGATAGAAAAAAAGTAAATAGATAAAAAAGGAGGAGAAAATAGATTGGAAGAGAAAGATAAACTGAAAAACTGAAAGAATGGTTAAGATAAAAGAGATATTGAATGTGTAACATGAGTAAAATGAGAGAGGAGATTCGTAGAGAAAGAGGAAATATAAGATTGTGGGAGGTAATAATAGCGAGTGATACCGTTTGCTTTTAATATGAACTCTACAGGAGTGAAGGAAGAAGAGAGAAATTGCAAGATTGAATAATGAGAGTAAAAATAAATGGCTGCATGAAAGTGTATAATTATGTATCAAGGTCGAAGGAGATTGATCGATAAATAGAAAGAGCGCAAAGGAGGAAAAAGAGTAGGAGGGAGAGAGTAGTTTAAATATAGAGTAATGGAAGATAAAGAAGAATAAAAGGGAGAGAAAGCGATTATGTCAAGAATAGAGGGAGTATTTTTTTTTTTTTAGAGAGAGTGTATCTCTATGTGGAGAAGACGGAAGGAAGTTACTGGGGACCTAAATTGATTGATGGGAGAAAGAGAAGCGAAAAACGATGATAAATGTAAAAGGCAAAGTAATCAAAGCCGGGTGGGGGGAAGAGACTGTTTTCCTGTAAGAAGAAAAAGAAAGCATCAAGTTGGTATCGTGGGAAGGTAAGCGGTAAAGCGTAAGGAAAAACGTTCGCTAGATAGTGAAGACGATAGAACATATTTCTTTTTGTAAGAGAGGAGGAGGGAACGTCATAGTAGGAGGAGAACTTGAGGAAGACATTGGTACAAAGAACGGCGGTAAAAATTAACACTTCCAACACCAAAAAGAAAACAAAAGAAATCATGGTAAAATTTTAACTGGGTAAAGCTAGTAAAAAAATTATCTACGATGGGATGTGATAGTTTTCTAGTATCCAAGGTGGACGTAGTAAAAATCAAGGCAAACCAAGATGATCTAACGCAGAAATTCAAAGCAGTAATTCATGTGGCAAGATTCTTACCACATGGAAAACTGTTGCCTGCAGCTTTCCTACACGTGGGTACTACTGATATTATGTGTAAAAATAGTATTTATTGAGAATACAATAAATTTTGAAGCCCTTGATATACATGTTATTTCAACAGACTTTGATCATTGCATGTTAGGCAATAAAATTAAAATGTACTTGTGAAAGAATTGTCAGGAATCAGAAATTAATACGTTTTACTGAAAATGACATATCTAAATGATGCCTGACCACTCGCTTCTGCGGATACACGTATACTAGGGCGACCAGCTGATCTTCATTGCAGACGCCTGTTCAGACACCTTTTGTATTTGTTCAACACCCACAGAGCCCACTTGAGGTTTATGCTGCAACTAACCAGAGAAAACCAAATAAGGTCTAAAGTTTCTTGGATAGAGCGCGTTATGTATCGTGATCAATAGTCTGAATAGCGCCAACATGCTCAAACCCTCGTTGACGATGATTTGTGATTCCGTGCTAACACAGCCATCGACGGCACCAAGGATTCCCTCTACCTATTTTCACGCTCAAGTCGTCAGGCAACCTGTGGTACGGTATTGAGCGATTTCCTATGGTGCCGAACGTTGGGATTAGCAATATCAGGAAGTCTCCTCTCTCACAAATTGAACCTGGGTAGATTCGAACCCAGGTTTGATACTCAGAAAACAAGCGGTCACGTGTGTGTGTGTGTGTGTGTAAAATTTGGGAAAAAAATTTGTGACGCGTCTCATCCGTCCGATGAAGTCCTCGCGGATGAAACGCGTCACAAAAAAAAACTTTTCCCCATTAGAATTACTGTTTTCTCAATACATTTAAAATATATATTTTACACACACACATACACATATATATTTATTAATACATATGTATTTATTAATATATATATATATATAATAACATCCACAACTTCTGTCTTCCAAGTTTTTTTATAAAGTTTTTGAATTAGTTATAGTTAAGTAACGGTAAATTGACCAAAGTTCCTATTTATTTTTTCGCTGATGACCTTTGAATGTTGCTATTTTGTTCTCAACGATTGTGCTTAGCTTATATTGACGTAACTACTTTTGGTTAATTCAGTTACGCATTTCAAATATACCAATCTCCGTCCAAAAAGACTCATGGAAAATACGGCCACGATAACCTCATCTCTAAGTAAAATGGTTAAAAATAATGAAAGCATAAATAATAAGAAGGGGAAGTCAAAGACTCTATAATATCAGCTCTGAACACGACTACAAAGAGCTAACCGTATTTGAAAATTAGATAGCGTTCCTAACTATACAAAGACATAAATATCTTATATTATATACAATAATCTACATATAGTTTTAAAATATCATCCTTGATAATGGCTAACTGAAGCGAGTAGATATATAGAACATTTTCAAAGATGTTACATATTTTATATCCTGAAAAAAATACATATTTCTTATATGTATTTTCTTTTCAGGATATAAAATATGTAAAAGTGGCAGAAAAATGAATAAAAAGCTTCGATAAAAATGGTACAACAGAGATATTCCCACACACACACACATATATATATATATATATATATATATATACACACATACACACACACACACACATATATATATATATATATATATATATATATATATATATAGAGAGAGAGTTTATGCAAATTTAGGTAATCCGTATGGGTAGACCTGAGGAGGATGATATCCAGAGAGCTCAATGTAAAATTCAGAGCAGATATGTTTGAATAAAAGACAGACCACGTTAAGATAATCTTAACGTGGTCTGTCTTTTATTCAAATATATATATATAAACTTTATATGTAAGAATAAATTATAATACCATATTTGTAGGTATCTATGAAAATGTGAATGTATATACACATATATTTTTATATATGAAGACGTGAATGATGTTTGTGTGTACATATGTATTGCATATGTCAAAATGTATATGGTTTTCCATATAATCCATTTCTAGAATTAGATATAGACATTTCTCCCATATAAATGTCTGGTCCACTATAAATATCAATATTTTACAAGGGTCAGGTTTCAATCAGCACCCGACGATTGCATCGTGCATGAAACTCAGAATTATACTACCTGCAAGAAATATATATATATATATATATATATTATTATTATTATTATTATATATTCTAGTTCTTTTTTTCATTATTACCACCAAAACTGACTGAAAAGACGTGTAAAAAAAAAAATAATGGAAAGGCAATCAATAAAATTTTCCAAAAACAAAAATCTATAGCGTCCTGTCACCTCTGAGTGTTAACTTCAATGTTCACTTTTATATTTACACACGCCCTATCTCTCATATTGAGCACTTTATTCCATAAATATAGCACACTTTAAATCATACATATATATATATATATTCGTCCTCAAGATAAGAACCTACACAAAGCAATGCTTCATGTTTACATACGACACATATACTTATTAATAAAATGGAAATTGATTTATCAAGTATGATACTCAGTATCGACAATAAAAATAGGCCATCATGCAACCAATCTTTCCATTACTTTTTAAGCTGAATTGATTTTTGGTCGAAAAACCTGCCTTATAATCGAATGTAAATTCTCTGCACAGACATCTTTGTTGAGCAATCTCGGCCATTGATATAATTGGATATATTCCCTGTATTCCAAATAGAGAGAAAATAGCAAGGATATGAAACTATGTGAACAGATGAGGAAAATTATGCTGTTTTAGTTTGAAAAGAAAAATTAGTATTTGTTACAACAAATAAGTTTTAAACAATTCGAAAACATTTGAAATAAACTGAATTAGATGAAAAGACTTTTATTCATCATTAAAAAAGGCTGATGTTTATTTTTATCAATAAGAAACGGGTAGAACGTCCTGATTGAGTTAAAAGTAACTTGTATTTTTTAAGAATACAGTTAAAGTTTTCAGATTTAATAAAAATACGTGTCCAATGATACATAAGACTAATGCAAACCCATATTCAGCTCGAACAAAAAACATCGAATAGATAGATTGATCTCTTTTATACTATCCACGTAATTAAATATTTACTGGGGATTTCTCTTTAATTAGATCACAGAAAAATAATATTAGTCGAATAAGCATTAAAAGTGATGAAGATATCAATGCAGCACTTTCAGAATTCCTTTACATTCAAAATCCAAAGATTTTATCAGTAAGTAATAGAATAATCAGTTTCAGTGCTTTGTTGATGTCGTATTTTCTTAATGAATCAGGACCCAGGGCATATGTTATTTGTATATCAATTCCATGAAACCTTTCATTGCAGATTACCCACAGTTTTTCGACTGGATTTAATGCCAGGCGATAGTACTCTGATTTGTTCATCGGTAAAGTTTGCCAGTGTGCTAGTGCAGCGTCACAATTTTCGTACGCTTCCTTGGATAAATTCCATCGCAGACAATGACCGTATGACAACTAATCGACAGTCGAAAGAATAGTGTCTGGGAGTGATGAAAATCTGATGCAACCATTATGGCGCAATATTTTTCAAGGCCTAACAAATTTCATCATAGACCCCGAAAATGGATACATATTACTGCTCACCACTGCAAATTGACTTTATCTGAGGAAAAAATAGAAATTGATTACACCCTGTCAATCCAGTCGGTCTAAAACTGACCGTATGCTGAAAGAAAGGAAACTAAAGCGGTTGTTTCAATTAATTTGCACAAGGGTGTATATATATTCTCTCCTTATTTCTATGAATTAGGCTTTTCAACCCTAAACAACATGAAACTGAAGAAAAAAATGAGGCTCTGCGTATTGCCTATTCGACCGAACAATGAAGGAATCCAGAATAAAATAAAAAATAAATAAACAACCAGGCACAAGTTTCTCACGAAATAAGCTGAAGAAATATTTGAATAGAAACATTGAAATAAATCAAGTTCATATTTGTGTGTGTAATTTTTTATAAATGATTTTATTTCATAACATTTAAATGTATACCCTTTAAAAATGTTGCTAAGTGTGCTGTGATATTTTCATTTGCGCCTAGGTGAGCCGTTGCTTAAAAAGGTTGACAAACACAGGGCTAGGCAAACTAATGATAGATCTAATTAAAGAATGTAGGAACAAGGAATATTGAAAAAGAAAGTAAGATGAGTATATGAATGAATGCAAAAAATAAAGGAAGGAAAAATATGAAACAAAACACATAAAATGTTTGGAAAAAAATAAAGTAAGAAATGAAAAAAAAATAAGAAAAATGACAGAAAATAAAAATAACAATTCCTGAATGGAAAGTAAGCTTAAGTGAAAAAAAAAGAATAAAAATAAGAAAAGAAAAACAGGCAATGAATGAAATACAAAGAAAGGAAGAAGATGCACTTAGATCGAGACAGAGTTCCACCAAGTAATTTTTCGCCTTTACATTAGTCTTCTCCCAAATCTAGAAATTCTCCAGGTCCGACATTCAACAAGTCGATCCATCACATTTACCGCCTCCCCCAAACACTTATCCATTCTCCTGACCTCATCACGACTTACCCGCGCTTTTCAACTAACCAATCAGAAACGACCTAATTCTACTCAACCTTCCGTCATTCAAATATCCACTCTCTTTCAAACCACAATACTCATCGTCTTCACCCGCAGCGCATCGCCCCACGTCTCCCAGTTAACCATTTATTTAGCCATTCATTTATCATCATACAATTCCAGTTCTCATCCAGGCGTCTTATTACATTTTCGTACAGCACATTCAATTCCCATTGCCTGCGTGAAGCATCGCCTGTTTGTCTCGGAGGCCCAGCATCGAGCATAGGATCATTCTGATAGCCGCGAGGGGCCTAAACGGGGACTGACACGAGATGTTAAAAAAC